CGTTGCACTCGGATTGTGGTGCAAGCTTCGTCGGGGCTGATGCAGCGCTCAAACGATTATTCGTTCAAGGAAACCCGCGAACATCAACAAATAGTAAATATGCTCTCACAAGACAACGCTCAATGGGAATTCAACCCACCCGGAACGCCTCACATGGGAGGCAAGTGGGAAGCTGTGGTGAGATCTGTAAAGTACCACCCCGAGACGTACTATCGGTGAGACCTTACTCACTGTTGAAGAGCTTACCACCGTGCTTGCCCAAATCGAGGTAATCCTCAACTCAAGACCACTAGAGCGGATGACTGACGATCCCGAAGATGTTTCGGCACTCACCCTAGGACATTTCCTCACAGGGAGTTCGCTCAGGATATCAGGATATCGGGATATCAGAATTGTCTCGCTGGCAATTTATACAACAGCGTGCAAAACAATTCTGGTCACAATGGTCACAAGCTCACTATTTAAAACGGCAACAATCGACATTAAGATTGGCTCGTTGGTACTCGTCACCGATGACCTTCCCCACCATGCAAATGGCATCTCGCCCGAGTAATCAATACACATCCTGACAAGGATGGGCTGACCAGAGTAGTCACAGTAAGAACAGCTTCGACTACGATGGTAAAACCAAAACATAAACTGGCAATGCTACCAATCCCCAACCAAAAGGAATAATCATCGATGGAATTGCTGATGGCGGGTGGAATGTTCGAGATTCAGAGAATCCCAGAAAATCCCAACGGCTATCATTTGAAGGAAAATTTCTCAACGGTTATCATATCAAGGAAATTATTCAACAATCATAACTTTTAAGAAAATTTTCCAAAGGTCGTTAGAGATTCGGAAATGCCGGTACATCGGAAATGTTAACCGTTGAGAAATTTTCCTTCAAAAGATAGCCGTTGGGATTTTTCCCCCAATGATAACATTCAAGAGATTCTCTGAATCTAGAACAAACTTCTATACATATATCTTCTATACGTAATTCTATACAAATTGAATTTAAAAAAGTTAACGAAAATGTTAAAATTTCATTATATGAAAAAATATATACACATATCATTTACTATTTCTAATTTACACATTTAAAAGCCACATATTTTTTTTTTTTTTTTTTTTTTTTTTTTTTACATAATAACTTACATATAATATTACTCGTGCACTGCTATCGTAAAGATAATTAATATAAAACATTGAAAGATACATCTTAATTTAGGACCCATATCAATTATCGAGAGAGAGAGAGAGAGAGAGAGAGATAGAGAGGCGGATAAAGAGGAAAGCAAAAACAGAATATCTAGATATAAAATGTTAATATATCTACTATTATATATTCAGAGTTTATCTGATAATTAAAGAAATTGGTTTTTTTTATATTTCCATTTATCTTATTCTGTCATTTTCTTAAATACAATTTTTTAAGATTGATTGTTCTCTATCTAATGTTCGAAAAAGAAGAACAACTATAGTGTGAAATGATTATTATGAAATAATAATAATAAAGCTAATTTCGTAGCGTAACGATATGGACTGCCTTATCAGTGCAATTACATTATATTCAAACATTAAAAATTACTGTTAATTAATTCAATGATTATGATTTAGTTTTCTTATTAAATATTTATGTATTTAATATTTATATACCATAATTAAACTTGGTAATAAATAGTAATGCATATCATCGTAAGAATCGAATGTGTTATGCATGAACATTTTAAAATAAAAATGACAAATTTATATTGGTAATGATTTAAAACACATACAACTGAAGATAATAACGAATGAGCTTAACGTATTTAATTATTCAGGTTTCGTAAGCATATTGCCAACCCGATATCTTGGCAAACACTTTCACATATTTGTTTAAGCATTTTCGTTAGCATCGATTTAATCTATGGCGATTGAATAGCAAAAAATAAATATTACTTAACGGTCTTACAATTATTATTAGCGAATTCTTCCCCTTGTAACCAACAATAACTTTCTACAACATCGGTAATCCTATTTGAGACATAATTACTCCCTCCCATTCAATGCATTAATGGCATGTTTGCCTTGTAAGTCCAAACACGCTCGAATAATATAAGAGAGAAGTTGTGGAGATTAATGAATAGCTTTGAAATGGACAAAAGCGAAATAGGATAAGCATTGAGCTAATCATCACGATGATAAGGCGATGCTATCCTAATCCAACTTATCGCCACGAGCTACGGCTCTATAAGCCTCGTTAATTCCAACCTCTATAGTTCCATTCTTCCCTCCTCCTCATCCTCCTACTCCTACTCTTACTCTTGTCTCTTCGCCCTTTCGCTGCTAAACCTTTATCGTCAGCCACACGTCAGATCCCAACCTCACCTTAAGTAACTTGGTGACGTTGCTGAACTCAGCCGCGCCGCCTCCGCCGGCCTCCGGTTGCGGCGAGACGTAGGCCAGGGGTATGCTAGTGCTGGTCATGGAGGTGGTGAGGATGGGACGCGAGGCGCGCGTCGTGTTGAAAAACTTGGCGGACTCGCCGATCTTGATGAAGGAACTGCCGCGTCCGGTGCCGAGGTTGAGGCCACCCGAACGTTCGGACTTGCCACCGATCTTTATGGCGCTGCCCGCGCGCTGCGTCGAGCCACCCCCGGGGATGGCGCCCACGTAGCTCAGAACGAGGGCGGCAAAGAGGAGTCGCATCTCTGACGGGAAGGCGCTTCTATGGGCGCTGCTTAGCGACGTCCCTTGTCTGGAACAAGCGAGGATATACCAGTAGCTTTTGAACATTTTAACAAGGTCGAATGGGGCCTCATTACCAATGTCCGAATTGCCTGCTTTTGCCAAGGTATGCCAATGCATTTGTGATTTGGCAGTAAATCAGGGGCTATTGATTGCATCGTTAGTCTTTGCCGCCAATAGCAAAATTAGCATTGTGTATGTTGCATGCGTAATGGCGAACCAGCTATCAATTAGGACTGGGAGAATATATAGTAAGCCAGTTCAAGGCAAATATGCATAAATGTGACGTCGTGTATCATTACTAGAGAGGGAAATAGGAACAAATTCAAATAATAAATAATTGCTTTGATTAAGGTAGTGATGCATATGTGAAGGTATCCGAGCTAATGTCGGCGAGTTATCAAAAAATATAAATATGTGATTATTAAATGAGAGAGAAGCTTGTCCAAACATAAGATTATAGCATCTATTAAATTAATTAATACTAAGAATAATGTTTTATTTTATCTATGTAAACTTTTTATCTATGTAAATTTTATAAATAAAATTTATGTAAATATTTTTAATCATTAAATGGAAAGCATTAAATTGCGTATATATATATATATATATATATATATATATATAGAGAGAGAGAGAGAGAGAGAGAGAGAAAAGAGATATTTATTAATATTACGATTATTATTATTATAGAAAATTATTTACCATTCAATTAATCAAATATGCCAATCGTATTGATAAATTATATATATCCTTACCCTAGAATATTTAATAAATTTGTCAAAATTTCAATTCATAGAAAGTAAAATTCAAATAAAATAATAAACTTTTAACGTTTTTTCCGTACTCAATGAATAAAGAATGAAACATTACTATGAATATTTATAAAATATTTTAATAACTTATCACTCCATAAAGTATATATATATATTTTTTTACCTTATTTTAAATATTAAACAATACATTTAAAAAGCTACGTATATTTCTATTATTATTAAAAACCGAATAAATTTTTAAATTGTTTATTATACGTGTGTATATGCGCGCGCGCGCGCGCGCGTGTGTATATTCAAATTATCTATTAAATTTTAAGTATTGAAATTAAAAATAAGCCTTTCGAATAACACGAAAATCACTATGAGAAATGTAACTCTTCCGTACTATACAGTAAAAGCTGCATAATCAATAAAATATTATTACATTTATGAAGTGCAAAAATGGATTTTTAAATGAAATATTAGAAGGTTTCACGATGAAACAATTATTTAAATAAAATTAGGAATTTTCTTACTTTTTTATTTAATGTAAAATATTTATAGTCTTTTAATAAAATGAATGGAGAATACATCACTTTGAAAATATCAAATATGATATACATCTAAATAATTTATAAAAAAATATTTCAAATCATTATCCAAAAATTGTGTATTTTCATTTATTTTCAGTTTAAATCTTGTAATAATTATTATAGGTACTTATAATACACGCGCGCGCGCGCGCACACACACATACACAAACATGTGTTACGGTACATGTGTTACATGTTTGTTACAAAGATATAAAATTTATAAAAAGAATTTCATACTGCATCTCATTTTTACAAATTTTTTCATTTAAAAATGCGTTTTTACTTAAAAGTGAAAAAGCTAAATTACATTCTATTAGAATGACGAGCATTTCATTGTCAACTACATGCTCATGTAATTTCGTTAATTACAATTGCATGCGCGATAGATCGATATATTTATAAAAGCATTGTAAATTTTGTGATGTAAATTTAATAGAAACTTATTAACAGAATTAATATACTAACTATGTAGATAGTATAAGAGCTAATTCTAATAAACTGCATTAAACTGCGAATTGCCAGGTTTATTTCATAAACCTAACGCTACGACTAATTTATGAATAACTTTTCTTATGCCTTATACTATGCTTACAATATTGTAGTACATTTTTTTTATCGCTGATTGTATTATCCTTTTAGTTATAATATATTTTCTTTTATACTTAAAAATTGTGTGAGATAAATAAATAAAAATATAGAAAAATTTTTATTTAACGTAGTATATTGAAAATGTTAAACTTACATTTTTAACGCAACGTTTACAATCTTTTTCCATTTGAAAGAAATTCAATTAAACGAACGATTGATTCAATTAAGTAGAAATATATTGATTAAATAGAACGATCCAATTTCTGATAATTTAAATTAATCGGCTCAATTCTACCCTATTTTCATAAAACGAATTCCCAACCATTCAAACATTTAATTTCAATTCTCCGTTTCTAAAGTTGACTCGTCCCATTGCTGCTGGAAGACTTAACCAGACAGGATTATTCGATCTAATCAGCTTGTCAAGTACAACAAAGTAATAAGTCGAACATCATCGCCGAGCCTTTCTTATACAATAATATACTATGCGTAACGCTGTGCGAACATTATGCTAATTTCCTTGAAAGGACGACCAAGAGGGAAATCGATAGTACGTATGCGTAAGTATCGTGACAAGTTTACGGAACCCAAGACATTCCTTACACGAAAGCGATTATTCATTTAACCGACGTATTCCGCAACTAATGCTCGGCAAACTCATAATTAGCTATTCGCTTGCCCTCATCGATGAGCTCGACCAAGCAGGCCCTCATCGTCGCCTCGAACACGCGATCCGCGTCCATGAGTGAGCAATAAGTCTCGATGCGACTGCCAAAGTACCAGGACTCCAAAGCCCGAGAGTCGCCAAGGTTAGCGACAACGGCTGCTGGCCATCTCAAAGCCGCGCAAGCCATGCCGACGATCCTCCGGGCCCTGTAATCTTCCATGATCCGCCGGCAATCCGGTACGTCGGTCCCGACTTCGCCCACCGCCTCCCTGAAGGTCGCACAATAGCGCTCGAGCATCAGGCACTCGGAGCGCGCGCGCGTTTCCGGGTTCGCGTGCACGTACAGAAGCATGGCCAGGTCGAGACACGGGGACGCGTAACGCAGCATCTGGAAGTCCACTAGGAGGCACTCGGGGCCATCGACGCTGTCCTTGAACAGGATATTGCCGCGCCAGAGATCGCCGTGGCACAAGGTGTTGCAGCCACCTACAGGAAGCCGACATTTTATAGAAAGTGTCTCGAGGATGATTTTGCTGTGAATCGATAGGGCGAGGGTCGGTAGGGTGAGGCAGTTTTCGTGGCCCTCTGGGATGTGAACCGGAATGGAGAGATTATTATGGCCTACCGTAGCTCACGTATTCTAAATCAATTAAATTTGAAGGAAATTCAATCCTGACAGCCGGATGTACTTATTAATTTATACCACCAGCTTTCTGATTACGAATTTATGAATAATTATTGGTATTGGAGCTGGTTCAGTGTGCCCGGATTTTCCAGAGTTATTCGATATTCCCTTATCGGAAAGTCCCTATACCAATTCCCTTCATAGGGCGCTCATGATGTAAAGAACTGACCTTTCAAAAGACTCGATGTAATAAAGAACGGATGCACGTCAACTGAGAACGTCCTTTTAAGTTTTTGAAATGGGCATTGATTTCAGAAATGTGAAGCGCGATATGAGCGTGATTTTCTAAAATTCGATATAAACTTCTTTATTAAAACTATTTATTTACATATTTCACCCCATTTTGACTATCGAGATATTTATTTAATATTCCGATAGCGAAGGACTATGGAATCGTATGAGGTGGTATAGGAGCACGTATACCTAGGTAGCTGAACAAACTATCGCATGTTCTTCTCAAGATCCTTTGATATGAAATTCTATCGTTTTCCTGTCAATAATCAAATGCCATTCATTTTCAATTCACTCGGTGTTAGCCGATTGTCAACATTACAACATTTCATGAAACCAAATGATCGTGGAAACAGCATTGTATACCTAAATTTAATACAAATTATTGTAAAATTTACTACACGGATAGCACTACTTTTTTTTTTTTTTTTTTTTTATTCGTTATTTTCCAATAAAGTAGAAGCTATTGCAAAGAGAAGTATTAAACTTTGTGTAATATTAAAAAAACATCAATTCTAGATTAATACAGTAACATTAATGTGCTTTTTACAAAGTTTTTATAAAAAAAAAGAAAGAAAGAAGGGAGAATAAATTTCGATAAAATATTTTAACAATTTTAACTACGTTTATTAAATAAATAAACGTGCGTTTCTTTTATATCGAGACTAGCGATAAAATGTACCAACTATTTATTAGGAAAATATAAAACATTGTTACTTTAAATTACTGAGCAATGCGCTAATTATTTATTGAAGATTATATCACATTAATTATAGAGTTTTATAAAAACTATAACTATAAAGATAGCGAGACAAATTACAAAAACAAAAAAAAAAAGACGAAATAATTATTCTTATGGAAGTGTTTCCAATAAGCAATAAATCAACTTTTTTTTTTTTCTTCAAAATAATAGCAATTATCTACAATACAAAACACCCGTAGCAGTTTTCATTATCATAAATAATTTGCGTAAATCTCTACGAGTTCGCTAGAGTGAAATAACTGTTTTATTCTCGTATCGAAGACTGACTCGTTCATTATTTTCATAAAAGACCAACTTTTTCACTCCAATATAGAGGGCAAAAAAGGGGCACCGATTTGTATTTTCAACGCAAGTAAAACATATTATTTAATTAAAGAAACATTAATGTACAAAATCGAATAACGATTAAGTGTTGAGAATTTCTTAAACTTGGTGTGTAAAACCTCGGGAAACTTATTTAATATAACGGACAATTGCATGGATATATTGTAATATAAAAAAACGTAATAATTAATATAACATTGAGCACATATTTATCAAAAATTTATAATAATCAGCACGATGTAAGATGACAGGTAATTTTATAATAATTACTAAAATGGGCCGTTTATTATCCTAACTCTCATAAGTCAAATGTAAGAAAAAGCAAATGTAGCGGCTTCTCCTACCGGAAAATTGTAATTCGCGTCAAGGCAGCACCGAGGGAAATTCCCGACCAAGACTTTCCACGTATAACGGAGGCAGACTGGTCTCGTTAGCCGTTCAATAAGTATCGTTTCGACACATTAAGCGACTTTCCATCGACATCGTAAATATCGCGCTTCACGGCGCTCTACCTGCTATTGGCTTCACAAGCTCGTAAATTCGTTTCAAGATCCTCGGCACCTCGGCGCCATCTAGTTGAAATCTCTCCGCCAGCAGCTCGAGAGTATGAAAGCCGAGCTTGGTCGAGCGGCCGCCTTTACCGACGTCGGTGAAGATCTTCTCGCGGAAGGCCTCGGGATAGGCGCGGTCCAGCGTCTTGGCGAGCCTCCGCTCCGCGACGATCGAGCTCGCGTGAAAATGCGCGAGGGTCGTGACGGCCGCGCTCAAGGTGGCCTCGTCGTAGATGCTGCTGGAGCGCGTGGCGTAGCCCTGGGAGCGCAGGTCCTCGAGTACGAGGGTGTCGGACATGGCGAAGTGGCACGCCGGCGACCATTTGGCCGAGCCCCTCATGTCAGGATGCACGTGGCTGTAGAACTTGATCTCCTCGTAGAAGGCCAACTCGTCGAAGACGCTGTCGCGTAGATTCGACCACTCGGGCAGTCGTTTTACGAAGAAGCCGAGAGTACGGCGCTTCGAGCTGACTTCCTCGAGTTCGATGCTCAGAGAATAGTGATTTCCCATTATACCACTCCTGGTGCTTGAGAACGGTTCGAGCCGATAGCCGACGATTTTAGCGCCTGGAGCCGCGCACTGTAAGACGATCTTCTCCAGCTCTTTATCCTCGATGGCCGACATTATTTTTCCACTATACTCCTTTGGTATTTCGTTCGTGCCTAATAGGGACGCGCGCGACGACTGGCTCGTGAGTTATCTCGGATAGCTGGTAATAATAATCTTTGGTAAAGAAGGTAAAGTAGTATGCTCGTATCTTGCAAATAAAAGAAAATGGCTACCGTGGACGTTTCAGAAGTCGATATGTTTCATTGTTTATAACCTAAACTAAAGCTCTCGTGGTATCAATCGTACGTTTCGACTGAAGAGATAAGCTGCGGATGAAATTCTGGATTTTGATTTTGTTGATAAAAAATTAGCTTACAAAAGATTGTTCGTATGAAAATATGAAAATGAATATTTCAGTTAATAATAAGTTATTGCAAGACATACATTATACAATAATTGTAACTTCTTCATTCTAAAATAATAAAATTAATGTATTTATTATTTGAACGAGAACGTTTTGTCACTTTCTTTTTAAAAAAAAAAAAAAAAAAAAAAAAAAAAAAAAAGATAAATTAATCATTAAGTAATACTGTTAATTTAAACAATTTTGTACTTACAATTACAGAAGCATTTTAATGTACCATTTACGTGTTAATATTGCCAAAGAAACGGTGTATTTATACACCATGTAGTAATAATTTCAATTAAAAGTACTTAAAGCAATATCCTCGTAAAGACCTTTTTTTATTTCAATGGAAATATCTTAATACAATCATAATAATACATTTTAAGTATTGTAAAATGTGTTTTGATTCCCATGACAAAGAAAAAAACCTAACTTTCTCCCTTAATATTTGGATTAAAATTTTTTTTTTAAGTATTTAGTAAAGTGAATTAAATGTTATAAAAAGTCTCTCTTATCTTCTTTATAAATGTTTTTTTTTTTTTTTTTTTTTTTTTTTAAAATTTTTTTTTTTTTTTTTTTTTTTTTTTTTAATATAAATTATATATATAAATTAATATTTAAAATAAAACATAAAGTCTGTATAAATTTTATGCATTTATGGTAAAATAAAATACCGAACTGCTCTTTCGTATCCCATTTATGAACTAGAGTAACTAACTATACTTTAAGACAGAGAAAATTTTTCATAACAGAGAAAATAAATGTTAACCATATATGTAATTACTACAATTGATTTATATTTCGAATTCGAAATATTTTGTACTTTAACTCAAATTATATAAGTTACGTAAATATTGTAGCTCACAGTACTGCGTAATCATTCAACTTGTCAATTAAATTCACAAAGGAAATCAATGTATGATACAACTAAACACAAATTGTTACATTAATTATAATTGATATAATTGATATAATTGATATAATTGATAATTGATATAGTTAAAAATAGTTTTGTTTTTTTCACACCATTTAGGCAAAAAAGATAAAGGAAAAAACGTTTTCTCCATAAGCTTAGTTGCTTTTTTGCTATTGATACAGTAACATAATATTTATAAAATAAAAACTAAAGATAAGTTAGAAAAATATTGATTCCATTGCACGTATTTACAGAAAAGACTTTTCGATGCCAGATAAATCCTTTCCAAAATACTAGAGGTCATAAAATATTTGTGCCATCTCTCGTTACACATAAAACCATCGACTTAATAAATATATGCTTTAAAATAATTGTTCTGAATTGCAAATTCAAAAGGTTTTATGGAACAAGGAGAAGAGGAAGGAACAGAAGGAAGTAAAAGTAAGGCGTTCAAGACGTAATGTCATTCTTGAAAAATTACCTCTTTTATTATATGGAAGCGTCGGCAGAAATTTAATGCCCACACCCATCAAGCTTGATGAGATTCCCATAAAAGCCTCTGACGCGCCTCGTTCGAATGAAATTTCATCCCCATGTATCATGTTAATATGGAATCGACTGTAACAGCAACGATATTCAATACAATTCTCATGTCCATCGTTAATCTGCCAGGACTGTTATATAACCACGCGTGAATTATAGACGGCAATGTTAGTCTTCAATGCTTGAAGGACGTTTTTATAATCGCGGAATTCAAGAGTTTGAAGAGTCGATGGATAATACTCGGTCGCTTCGAGCTCCGAGTTCCAATGAGATTCTTGAGTGGATGGATAGACGTACGAGGAAATGGCCGATGGCCGTGCAAACGTAGCCCAACATTTTACATCGTACGTTGGAGTGGTCGAAGGAACGCCGATGTCCGGCAATTATGTTACATCCTTGGACCAGAGAACATGCACCAGCACACCGTCTGCACGCGAAGAGTGGAATATTACCGTCAGTCCTCCCCTCCCATAAGTTGCGAATTTCGCCCAAAGCCAAATATTTCAAATGCGCACCTGCTCATTGATTTTAGCTCCTCCCCCATCCCCACCCCTGACGATCATACACCTAATAATAAGATAGTTATTATTATATTACAGCGCACTATCATTGCACTATTAAGGTTTGATATTTCAAATCTTGAATACTACTTCCTATTTACTTAAAATAGATTTAAATAGGAAATTAGTTGCATGGTCGGTTATAATTTCAAAATCAGCCCCCTATGTGCCTCTTTTGACAAATAAAATTATTATCCAATCCATCATTACGACGATTAACGAATAAGAAGTAATCGATAGTAATTGTTGTAGAAATCAAACTGCCTTCTGCACTCATCGCATCATTAAGAAATACAATTAGTAAAATTCGTTTTAGGTTTAAAACTAGAAAAACAATCTTCGGTTTAAAATTGTCGAATTTAAGATAATTGAGCGCTATACGAAAGATAAGATAAATCAGAAAATCGATTTAGCATATCGTCGAAAATATTTTATCTAAGAATTACGTTTACCTTAAAAAGAAAACACCGTCTAATTCGTTCTTAACCTTTAAATTTGATTTTTAATTAGAAATTTTTTTTTCTCTATTTGATCAATGAATAGGTTATATCGTACTACTGCACTTTCCACTGATGTTATGTAAATTAAGAAATTTTTTAATCAAAGGCTTCACCATCATCCTCTATGTCTCCCCTATTAATTTGTGCAACAATTTGGTCTTTAATTTTTGTTTAAATTTTTTTTTTTTTTTTTTTTTTTGTCAACGCGATTCGTATTTCTAAATGGTAAATGTAAAATGGTAAATATAAAATATTAATGCAATAAAGTAGTATTTCAAAGATTACAAAAGCCAAATAATCAACTATACCTTAAAATAGAAATTCTTTAAATTAAATAAAAGAAACTCCTTTTTAATATTTTTACTTTATTGTGTAAACAGCTGGAGCATGAAATAACAAACCAATGGCAATCTATGTTTAATTTAATAAAATTTTATTATCTTTTATAAATGTTAAACAATGTTTGAGTTTATATATCCATTTATAAGACATAAAACGTATTATTATCAAAACTTTTAATAAACGATTCGTATACTTTCATTGCCTAATATTAGCTGTGATAAGATATTACCTTATTTTTTAAAACAAATCCACATCGAAATTGCTGAATAAAGGCTTAAAATTGATATTATAGATTTATTTATTTAATTACTCAATCTACAGATGCAAAGATCAAATATATTGAGGGACTACATGCCGAGGTTATCGGATTTTACACAAAAATATGACGCAGTGAGGGTGCGAACAGCCGGTGTAAAGTGCCGAGAAATCGAATGGGAAACTTTACAATATTCAAAGAGAGAGAGCAAAACAGTCTGATCCATTTCCTTCGTCTATACCTGATTGTATGTGCATGCGAGCGTGTGTGCATTGGGGTAGGGGAGGGTATTATTGCTCGCACGTGAGGCTCTGTCGATGACGAAGTAACTCCTCGTGAGAGGTCGTCGCTTCGGTCCGACGACTCGCTGATTCTCCATACGACTTGGCAAGATGCAAACGTAAGCCGAACCCTGACCGGATTCCAGAAACGAATTCTTCGAAGCACGCTATACGAAAAATATACTCTTCAATATTGTCAAATATTTTTTCTTATTTAATAGCTACATTGAAATGCACATTGAGAATCTTTGCTTAATAATGTTTATATCATTAGAATACGAAACTTCCTTATTCCATGGGAAATCTTCATGATACTTGTAAATAGACTGTTCCAGTCGTATTGATTATTGCATGCAGTTGAATTACAGAATTTTACACCATCTTACAGTGTAAGCGCATTGTGTAAACTAAGCTTTGTTATTATTATACTTGTTGTTGTTGTTGTTGTTGTTGTTGTTGTTGTTACTATTACTATTACAATTATTAGTATTATCATATTTTTTGTATTTACTTTATAATACAGTAAAATTCTTTGTTGAAAAATAAGAAATATATTTAAATAGAATGTAAGCCGGTTTCTTTTTGTAGACAATCGCTGCGCGTTAAATCAAAATCTCGTAAAAGTACAATAAATACAAAAATAATTAAATTTAATAATATATTAAAAATAAAATGTACGTATGCACAAGAAAAATAATAGGAAACGATTTTAGAGAACGCTTGAGAAAAAACTGGATAATATAAGAAGAAGAAGAAAAAATAGCAATAAAGGTAAAATTTATTAATATTACGTTTAAGCTCTCGAAAATAAAATGATAAAAATTGTAAAACTTTTAAAACTAACAAGTTCATATTTTTTTATTGAGATGTTATGTAGGAGATAGGCAAAGTGAGAGTTATTTTGTAGAAAAATTTTATTCCAAAAGTCTTATTGTATACAGTAACTTTTTACATATCTTATTTCCCATAAATATGTTTTTAAAAACCTTTTTTGTTGTGAATATTTTGGATAAGCTTGAGTAAGCTATTGAGCATAAATATTTTATTCGTGTTAACTAATATCATCCCCCGTATATATGTGGATTTAAACGATAGCAGTAAAGATGTAATAAAAACTTAAGTTTATCCACATCATAGATATTTCCTTTTCGTCTACATTTTCTCGTACAAATTTTAAACTTTAAGCACAATTTAACTACCACGTGCAGTTATTATCATCAAAATGTATTTTAAACTTTGTTAATCCATCACACGTTGTTACTCAAATATTGGTTTATTATTAAAACAATTATTCTTTTAATACTTAAAACAATAAACATACAAAAAATATAACGCTAAATGATATAGACATTAAAGAAAATAATCAAGAAAAGCATATTAATGTACGTTAAAATTAAATTTTTATACATACT